GCAAAAACCTCTCCAAAAAAAAAAAAAAAACAGACAGAGAAAGAGGGAAAGTGAGAAATCAAGCTGTCAGGTTCGGGACTAGGACCGCAGTCAGCCATGTGGCAGGCAGCCATGTGGGAGTCCAGCACCTTAAGCACCACTGCCACCTGCCAGCCCTGTGACCTCCATAGTTCTGAGGAACACTGGTCAGGTATGTTGTTGGATGCTCTGTTATTGGAATTTGTCTTATGTAGTTCCTCATGATTAGACTGGGTTATGTGTTTGGGGAAGGAAGATCATAGAGAGAAAGTGCCATTTTCATTACATACCAAGGGCATGTACTATCAACATGATTTATGATGGTTGATATTGACCTTTATCACCTGGCAGAAGTAGAATATATCAGGTTTTTCCACTGGAAGATGTTTCTCTCTTCCTTCCTTCCCTGACATCAGTTGTCCATACTGTTCTTTTCTGAAGAAAGCCACTATGTACCTCCCTTACTTAAGAAGTGGGGACTTATGCCTTCCCTCCTTTAGGGTTAAGTATCTACAGAAATTATTTGGAATTCTTCACTAAGGTCTTCTCAGTAGGCAGTTGTCCACCCACTGGTGAGGGCTCTACTGATTTTATTTTTTAAGAATTATTTTATTGGGACCAGCAGTTAGTGTAATGGCTGTCGCTGAACTCCCATGTAGCCGACCGTGGTTTGAGTCGAGGACCTAGTGGCTTAAACTCACGCCAGGCACTTGTGCATGCATGCCCAAGATCCTGAGAGGAGAATGGAAGAGAAGGGATTGTGGCATGGCCATCCCCCTGAGGGGTAATTTCTTGCTTTCTATCTCTCTGTCTCTCTCTTTCTGGCAAGACAAAAACCTCTCCAAAAAAATTTTATTTTATTTAACTTTATTTATTGTTATTATTTTCCAGTTTGATAAGAGAGAGACAGAGAACGAGAGAGAGAAAGTGAGAAAGCAAGCCACCGGGTCCTGGACTTGAACCACAGTCAGCCATATGGGAGCCCAGTGCCTTCAACCACCATGCCACCTGCTGTCCCCATCTACAGATATTTTAAGAGGTGGGAAAAGAGTTGTTGAGGAGACCCGGTTGTTCTCTGCCTCAGCTGAACCTAACCAAATTCTACATTCACAGAAGACATATTAGATGTTTCTTCTTCAGAAGCTAATTATCTAGGTTGTGGACCATCTGTGCTCCTGGCATCTCACTCCTGATGTCAAGCTGGTGGCTGCTCTGCTGGCTGTTAACTAACCCATCCATGGGTGAGAAGGAGAGAGGAACACAATGTCAGTTGCCATTAGTTAAAATAATGATCAAAAAAGATTCATGGAAAAAGGACCTTGAATTTCTGACTGACCTTAAAAAAAGTTAGCATGGGCTGAATTTCATTTATCTGTGTTGTCTTTTTTTTTTTTTTTGGATTCAAAATGGCCTCAGCTATGTGGCAAGCACGATGCTGAACAGTTCCCAGTAATTCCATGCCACGGTGTTCCTGGCCTTTTCTACAGCATTGTCCTATGCCATAAGAACAGCATATAACTGTGGGTCTGTCTATATAACTGTAGAGGAAAAAGCAAAGGAAGGACTGCGAAAGAAATAGAAAGTCCATATTGTGCTCCATAAAGATGTACAACAATGAAATGTAAATAAGAAATTATAAAATAAAACAGAAAAGAAAAAATAATAGTTGGCAAATGCTCATTAAATAAAAGAGTAAATCAATGCATCTTATTAGAAATATGAATAGCAAAGGTGCAGAGATAAATGATTCTGCAGAAGCAAGAGATGCTCACAAAAAACATTTCTTATATTGATATCTACTCTTTTTTTTAAGAACTATTTCATTTATTTTTTTTTAATTTGACCAGAGAGGGACAGAGTGAGTGTGTGTGTGTGTGTGAGAGAGAGAGAGAGAGAGAAAGTGAGAAAGCAAACCACTAGGTCCAGGACTCAAACTGCTATCTGCCATGTGGGAGTCCAACGCCCTTCACCACCACACCACTTGCTGGCCTAATACCTACTCTTAATAAAACCATAGACTTGGAAAATTAAAAAAAAAAAAAAAAGAGGCATGGTAGTTAAGGTGCCTGGATCTTACATGGCGTACCATGCGGTTTGAGTCCTGGACCCAGCGGTTTGAAATGGGCACGTGTGTGCTGCCCAGAATCCTGAGAAACAGAGGAGTGATTGCGGCATGGCCATCTTTCCTGATGCAGTGATTTCTCACTTTCTCTCTCTCTCT